TCCATCACTCACTGGTCTCACTCGGCAACACTCAAAAAAGGAAAAATCGGGGACTCGCAGCTCGACTCGCCGAGTCGCTTGCATGCAGCAACTCAAAACTTGATTATGCTTGAATCCAGTGCATACAACTTATAGATCTGGACTCCCTTAACTCAATTAGCATGTAAAGATTCTATCTTTACGTGCCCATATGCATTCATGAAGATAAAATGGCTCAAAAAGCATAATAAAGGCTAGATCTAGGATTTCCATGCAAAGTATCTTCATAAAGGCAATAGATCTGGGCTCTGAAACTTCTAAATGAATAGATCTAAGGATATCTCGACTTATTAGGGCATCCATACAATCATAAGGCTTGGGAAAAGCATTAACTAGATCTAGAAGAGTCCTAATGGAGGTTTAAAGCATAAAACAAGAAGGAATCCGAAGAATACCTCAAAGAACTCTGATTTGCCCTTGAATCTTTGCACTACTCCTCTTCTCCTTGCTCCTTTCTTCTTCTCCTTCTTCAAGCCTTCACAAATCAACACAAGAACACTTAGTTCACTCAAGGATGGATTAGGGTTTTCTCACAGCGTTCTGAGGGTGAAGGAGGCGAGAATGGGGGCTATAAGGTGGATTAAATAGTGAGCAAACCCGGAGATTTAGGGTTTCAACCTGGCAGGACGACTCGCCGAGTCCCGAATATGGACTCGCCGAGTCGCCGATCTATACGCTGATCAACAACGCGACCCTACTCGACGAGTCGGGACATAGACTCGCCGAGTTCCTCTACGAACTTCAAAAAAATAAATACTAAAACCACATACCAGAGACGGGTCGTTACATATATGTTAGTGACATGATTATTACTGGTAATGATCATTATGGTATAGAGTCTTTAAAGCGTGATTTGGCTCATCATTTTGATATGAAATACTTGGGTTTGCTAAGTTATTTCTTGGGGATTGAAGTTTCTCAGTCTCCAAAGGGTTATCTTTTATCTCAAATAAAGTATACTTCATATTTGTTTGAACGTGCACAACTCAAGGATAATCAGGAAGTTGATACGCCTATAGAGAGTAATGCAAAGTACTATCCAACCGATGGTTTCCCATTATCGGATCCAAGCCTTTATCGTACCATTATAGGGAATTTGGTTTACCTAACTGTCACTAGATCGGATATTGCTCATGCAGTTCATGTGGTTAGCCACTTTGTCACTGCTCCTACTACTGTTCATTGGGGAGTTGTTCTTCGTATTTTGAGATATCTACGTGGTACTCAGTTCCGTACTCTTGTGTTTCCATCTATAGTGATGCAAATTGAGATAGTGATATTTATGATAGTAAGTCCACTGCTAGGTATTGTGTTTTTCTTGGAGATTCATTGATATCATGGAAAAGCAAGAAACAAGATGTTGTCTCTCGATGTTCCACAAAATCTAAGTATCGAGCCATGGTAAGCGCAACTTGTGAGATTTTTTGGTTGAGATGGCTTCTTGCACATATGGGCATTCACATCTCTTAGCCTACCCCTTTGTATTATGACAACTAGAGTACGGTAATGATTGCAAAGAATTCAGTGTTTCATGAGCGCACAAAGCACATTGAGATCGATTGTCATTTCACAAGACATCATCTCCAGAAGGGCACTATCTCTCTTCCTTATGTTCCTTCCTCTTTGCATATTACTAATATTCTTACGAAGTCGTTGACTGCTCCTCGATTTCATTTTCTATCTGACAAACTCTCAATGCTTATTGTTGTTGCATTGTGAGTTTGAGGGGGGATGTTAGCCTAACAAGATTATGGGCTTTATCTTGTATTAGGTTTTATGATTCGGTTTTTTAGCTAGAAAACCCTAATTAGCTAGTTTATATATTATGTCTTTCATTTTCATTGTATTTGTACTTCTCTTTGATAATAATACGAAACCTTAGTTGTTATATGTCTTTCACTTGGTAGTTTTCATTTGAAACATTAGAAGTTATTCCTCCATATTTTTTCAATATAAGTATCGATAGTTAGGCTTGATCACTCATTCTATCGTTCTTTTTGAAACACCTTACGTTGAAGTCACATTGGTGATGTCAATGGAGGGAATGGGTGCCTGGGTAATGTAGTTTTAGGAAGGTCGATAGAGAGATAGAATGTTGGAGTGGTTGAGTTATGTTGGGAAGAGCTAGAAGGAGAATGATACGGACGCGGAAAGAGATAGGTTGTGGAGTATGCACCCATGGATGATGACGTTGGAGGGGAAGGGGGTGGTTGAGCCGATAGTGATTGAGTAGTTGCTGAGAATTAAAAATATAAATATATCTTAAAAATAAATTACAATTAAACTATGGCCAACTCATCCAATAGAACAATTTTATCCTCCAAAATTTGGTGGTCTCGCGTTGATCCTAATCATGATGATTGGTGGCGAAAAGATACCCATTCCACTTAGAGGCCTACAAAAACCACCAAATGAATGGGAGTAATATATCTTTGCCCTTTTCAAAGATTCTAGGCTTCACTTCCAAGCAATGGAAATCCATGTCTTATTTATAAAATCTACAATGGACCCCCTCAATCCTCATACTTCCGTTATTCTATATTCTTCCACAACACTACAACTAGTCACCCCTGAGTCAACCTATATTTATAACAGACAAATAATAATTTTATTTTGCGTAATTTGATGTATGCTATTTAGATTATAAAAATATATATGATGATTAATTTTGGAGTTATTTGATGGTATTATATTGATTAGAGTCGGCAAAACAGTATGAATATGGTAATCGGAACATACCAATCCAAATGTTTTCGTCCAATATATAATAATCTAAACGTTTGATATAATTACAAAAAAATTTCAGCATAGGAATAATGTCTTTTTTTTGTTGTTTTTTCCTAGCTCATGTTAGGTTAAGACTTATTGGTACGGGCATAACGCCCATTATGGTATGTAATGACACCTTTAACATATGTTATAATATGTGAACCCTACGCCTACTTTTAGTTATGATATATTTTGGTTTGCTGATTATATATATAGCTCAATGAGAGTTAAAGAAAAAAATAATCTATTTTTTTAATTATTTTTTCCCTTTTAAAATGGTGTGATAGTTTTTTTTTTTCTAGCAAAAATGGGATCGTGTTAAGAATGATGTAATATGTGATGTGATAATTTTTTTGTTATTATAACGACTCATACCCACCACCTTTAGTAAAAAATGTTGCCGTAAAAAGATTGATAATAATAGTCATTTAATAAAGTAACTAGGTGACATGAGTTTATTTATAATAAAAGTTAAATATAAATTTCTAAACATTTAAGAAATTTGAATTTATAAGAAATGTAAGAAAAATATCTAATTATTAGAATTAAATATCTCTTTTTCTCTTTCATATTTAAACAAATAATTTAGATAAATAAATAAAGTAACTGATGAGATTTTAATTTAATAATTTTGAAATTAGAACGAAAGTTCATTAATGAAATTGATATGTGTTTATTATTATATTTAAATATTATGTGAAATTTAATAAAATAAAAAAACCATAAATGACATGTAGAATAAAAAAATTAATTAAAATAACTACAAAATAACATATGACAAATTAATGATAATGTAACAAGTGACAAAAAAAAATATTTATTTATTATAGTAGACTAGGTGTAAAACTTTTGTATTATACGGATTGATTACAGAAAATAAAATATTAAAATGTAAATAATAAGTATTTTATAAAATAAAAAGTTGAAATAAAGAATTAATAAACATATTAATTGCAGTTTATTATAATATTTATTATATTTGATACTTTACATATATAAGTATAAGATTATATGGCTTTTTAATTTTAAAAATTTTAAAAAATCATAAATTGACATGTGAATATTATTTATTTAAAAAATATCACAAAATCATAAGTATCAAAACTCATTAAATATTGACATGTGTCAAAAAAACATTCGTTTATCAGAGAGGATTTACAAAGTTGTAAATAAACTTAAATCAAACACAAAGAATATATTTGACGATTTCCTTTATAAAGTAAATAGTTTTAGTTTACTTCTTTTAGAAATAAGATATAACTCTCAAATTATTCATAAATTAGTTGATCATTTGACATTTTAGTTTTGATTGCACAAAGGGACAATATTTAGTTTATTCTCAATTTATAAAAGTGTTTGATTGTGAATTAAATGTTTGAAATGAATGTTATCATGACATTCTTTAACATAATTCCCAAATACCTTTTCAAATGAAATGGAACTATGAAATGACGGTGTTATATGTATGTTGTAGTATTAAAAAGAACAATTATTGTGATATATCATTTAAAAAAAAATGTTATGATAACTGATATCTTGATGAGAAAGTTACAGTTGTCAATATCCCAACCAACCCAATGTCTTATGATGAGTTATCTCATATATTGTATTGCGTATATATTTTTGAATTAAAAATTTAAATATAAAAAATCGTACATCTTTTAATCAACTTTTTATTTTCAATTTATATAAAATATCGGAATCAATAAAATCTGGTAATGTTCGTAAGTATTGAATTATTTTTTTTAGCTTTATATTTTATGAGAAAATTCTACACTTTCAATCAACAAACACGACTTTAAAGGAATTATCGACATTATAAGGTCCCAATGTCATATATGTTGGATGTAAATGTCAAACAATAAACATAAGACAAGCTATAGACGAAAAATCATATTTTTAAGTAAAGTTTTGTATTAAATAAATAATTATGCTACCTAAATAACGATGAACTTATTGCAATTTGATTTTTATTTAGACGGAATTATCATAAACCGTTTTTTTATTACTGATAATTACAACACACAAAATTGCTGAGACAGAATCAGCTACTCTCCCACCTATTATAATACAGTACATCCGTATATCCATCGGCCATATGCACTTTTCATTATACCCATGCTTGTGTAAATTACTAATGCTCAATTTTTTAATGCTTAAAAACAGTAAAAAAGAAAAAGTTATGGATAGTTTCAACGAACGTCAACGAGGAAATCATCGATGTCAAAATCGCCAAACTCCTCGGTGTGGTACTTCGCCGGAACTGTAAAATCCGGCAAATTGATCGGCAGATCTATGTCGAATCCAAAAACGTCCACGTCACTGTATCGCAAGCCAGCAAACGGCGGTAACTCGTCGTCAAAAGGGAGGACAGACGTCGGCGACAAGACACCGTCGTGGACCTGTCCATCGTCATCACCAACGGAGGTTGTGGTGACTGTGGGTTTTTTACCTTCGACGATCACGGTTTCCGTTACCGAAACGGTAGGGAAGTTCGTAACGGCGTTATGACCTTTCAATGTAACAGCTGCCTTGTCGTACACCGTCGCCGCTTCCTCAGGGGTATCAAACGTCCCCAACCAAACTCGCTTCCTTCTACCCGGGTCACGGATCTCCGCCGCCCAACGACCCCACGGCCGCCTCCGCACACCTCTGTACTTCTTCTCCACCGATCCGGTACTCCTCCTGACGTGTCTCCTGTTTCTGCTTCGATCTCGCTTGAATTTCGAAGATGGCGGGTTAACGTTGATTTCAAACACATGTTTCTTCACTCTCTTCATCACTCCTTCGTCATCATCATCAGACGAATCGGTGGCGTAGGGATCCACCAGCCTGATCCTAACCACTTTCTGCTTCATCGCCAGCGACTCTTCCTGAACGAACTTATTGGTTCTCACCACATGCTCCGAGAACTTTACCGCCGATCGTACGGACGACGGACTCTTCACCTCCATATCACAAAACCGATCAACAAAACCCAAAGGAGGCAGAAAACTGGAACAAACAATACCAATTATATCCGACAATACAAAGGATTTTGTAGAAAGGTTTCTTGAAGAAACGACAGAAATCGAAAGGGGTCCAGTAACAAAGAAATTTTGGGCAATATCAACTACTCTTGAGCGAATTTTGGCGGGAAATTTCCCTCTCTTTTCTTCCTTCCGGTGTGATCCAGAGGAGGAGGAGAGAGGGAGGAGGAGGAAACGAAGAGAATTTCGGGGGAGAGTGTGTATATAAAGGGGTTGGGGGGAAGAAGAAAAGTAGGAGCAAGGGGAGACTCCACTTGACTACAGTAGTACAGTGTCCACTCGAGTAGAATACACACAGAGAGAGTGGGAAACACGCAGTAAAGATATAACATTTCGATTTTGGCCCTTATTCTATTGGCTACTTTATGAAATATCGGCAATGGGAGCTTGACTTTGCACTTCGGTTAGCTAAATGCATCCCCTCTTGTTTAGCCTTTCAAGAAAATTTCGTTTACTTTTCCAATTTTGGAGGTTGTAAATAATGGATTTAGATCACATGTGATCATGTTTATATATATATGACATGATTGAGTTTTTGTTTGTTTCTACTCATAAAATAATTATTTGTTTAGAATGTATAGTAATAAACGTTGCTGCTTGTTCCACGTGTTAAACCCAAATGATAATCAATAACCATTTTACATAGGTATGTTTTTAAATTTGGACAGAATTTCAAAATAGATTATCGTAGTTTACAATATATATATATCACAACGTTACCTTTTTTGTGATTGATATTATCTAATACAAAATGAACATTTCTACTCTTATATAATATTTTTCTTTATTGTTTTTTGTTTAATAAAAATATTAAAAAAAGTCAAATCAACATATTTGTTAAGGTGTCAAACCCAACAAATAATGTATATAAAATGACTCTATATACACTCCTAAAATACACTAAAAAGTAATACAAGAAAAGATGGTTGATTCTCAAATACATAATATACAAAGTAGTCAACTGGGGAAGAGGGGGGGGGGGGGGGAGGGGTGTATTCAATGATATAGGAAAATTATTAACTAATTAAAATAGATTCAGAAGAAGACATTGCGGCTACCAGTCCCTTGAGAGAACCCTTAGAGAGCCAAATTGTTGTAAGGAAGAAGAAGACACTTTTGATCCTTGTATCTTTGGTTTAGCAAGAAGGAAGTGCAAGAGCAAGAGGGGAGGTGCGATTCTAGCAGTTCCAGGGATCCAGAGACTTCATTTTGAGGTAATAGTTCGAACCTCCTTCAGTTTTGATGTTAATCTATGGAGTTAGGGTTTTCTAACCCCTTTGGAGAGTGATTATGTGGAGCAAATGGTCCCTCTTCGAGTTTATACCTTGGATCTGGACTCAAAGAGGCCCAGAGACCTTAACCCTTGGAGCTTTATGGATTAGTTTGGGGTTATTGGACTTAGGTTGCCATTTTTAGGACTAAATCACCTTTTGATGCCTTGTTGTTGTTATACAAGCATCAAGTTCAGAGCTTTACGTGACATGCATGCTTGGGAAGGCAAGATCTTTGATTTAGGGAAACAGATCTGACCTCAGGAGGCCAGTAGAGTTTGTGCATGGCATGAACTCGTCGAGTTGTTCTTGAGACTCGGCGAGTAGGGTCAGGGTTTCACGTAAATTGGTCAGTATGTAGACTTGCTGAGTTGGGGGATGACTCAGTGAGTCAGAAGGAAGTTGAGGACTGGAGTTCAAGGCGACACTCGCCGAGTTGTTCTTGAGACTCAGCGAGTTGAGTTGTGGTGGTCCTGCGATTCATGCTGAGTATGACTTGTCAAGCATAGGGAGGGACTCGACGTGCCAAGCAGGACAAAGTGTAAAGGACATGTGTGAACTCGCCAAGTCACCAAAGTGCACTCGACGAGTAGGGTCAAAGTGTAACCATTGACTTTTAGGGTTTGGTCAATGGACTACTTGTGTTGAGAGGAGGGTAAAATAGCCTTTTTCCCTCCTGAGAGTGCCAAAGGCAGGTTGAGTCTAGTCTTGAGAATTATATTTATAAGAGTATTTATTTTATGTGAATAGGCGAAGACTAGGCAGTATTCCTACCAAGTCAGAGGTTTTCCGAGACGCCTGAGGTGAGTCTTCTCACTATACTTTACCTAGTGTGGTAACAGAGTTATGTGATAGAGTATTCTAGAGTTATGTGTCAGTGTAATTGCATGTTATTTATGTGCTATGATTTATTGTGATATGTGCTACGTATGATTTAGAGTTACAAAGTTAGGACCTTCGGGTCCACAGAGTTAGGGCCAGAGGGCCCATAGAGAGTTGGGGCTGGAGGGCCCCACTGAGACACATAGGCCTGAGGATCAACAAAGTTACAGCCTCGAGTGGCTATTATGTGTTAGAGTGGTATTTTGGGGAACTCACTAAGCATTTCTTCTTACAGTGTTATGTGTTATGTGTTTCAGGTACCAGCGACGATCGCGGGAAGGCGCTGGCATGATCCGTACACACGCATACTGGAGTTTTATATATATTTTGATCTTGGGTTTTGTATTGATACAATGTTGTTATAACGATTTGTTTATGTTTTCAAATGATATTTTATGGGTCACAAAAGTGAAAAAAAATTGTTCAAATTTTTACGGTGTTACAAGTTGGTATCAGAGCCTTGGTTTGAGGGATTCGGATATATCTTCGGGCGTATCTGAACTCAAACTGGGGATTTGAGGAAATTTTTAATAGTAAAATAATAATAATAATAATAATAATAAAAATAATATTTTTGAAAAAGAGTAAAAAGAGTTTTTAAGACAAACAGAGCAGAGCCGTGTGTACGATCAGCCAGCGCCCGAACGGTGATTTCCCAAAATAATCTCCTAATAAGTGATTATCAGATATGTTATGTATGCTATATGATGAGTTACGATATGCATGCTAGAGTAGACTAGGTATTCTTATTAGGACTAGAGTGGCCTGATATATGATGCCTTAGTCTGTGGGTTTTTCTGCTAGAGATGCTTAAGAGTGATTTAGATAGCAACGAGGCGCTTATGAGAGAGTTTTGTTAGTGGGTAGCACATGATAGAAAGACTAGAGTAGTTGGGATGAATGCCAACGCGGTATGGACGGTAGTATTGGGCCCGTACTACTGAAGATACCGAGTTGGTACGCAGCCCAAGTAAGAATCCTTTGGGCACCAAGGAACGAGTAGTGTGGAGTTATCGAGTGTATTTATACTCAAAAAGGGTCTCTAATATTCTTATGTTGTATTTCAGAAGGAGACCATGGTTGGGACGCGCCACACACCAGTGATCGGCAGTTCGAGTGATGATGAGATTCGTAGGATCATTCAGGAGGAGGTGGCTGCGGCCATCAGGGCAGACATACCAGAGATGTTCGGGTCTATCAAGACCAATCTGATGGAGACATTTGGTGAGAGATACGCTGCTCTTTCTGAGGCTGCGATTGCTGCGGCCACTGCAACTATAGCTACGACTAGGTCGCAGGGTGGTGATGCGTTGCTATTCCGGGAGTTCAGCAACACAAAACCACCGGAGTTTGACGGGACCCAGGACCCGATCGCGGCGATGAGATGGATTTCTGACATAGAGTGGTGTTTCTTTACTTGCTCATCTCCAGAGCATTTGAGAGTCCGATTCACGCTGAACCAGCTTCGCTTGGGAGCGAAGGACTGGTGGAAGTCTGTGACTGCGCACTTTACGCCTGCTGAGCTTGCTGCGGTGACCTGGGAGAGGTTCACCGCTATGTTTCGAGATGAGTACGTTCCCCAGGTGGAGAGGGAGTGTTTGGCCCAGGAGTTTCTGACCCTCAAGCAGGGTACTGAGTCAGTTACGGTGATTACGAGGATGTTTCATTATCGGGCGATGTTCTGCCCAGAGTACGTGTCCTCCGAGCAGGAACGCATGAGTCGATATATGAGCATTCTGAGGAGGGATATACGTGAGTTCGTGGCAAACTCGACGTACCGGACATTTGCCGAGCTTCAGGAAAATGCCCGGAAGAGGGAGATAGAGTTGGAGACCCAAGCCAGGGAGGAGGCTGAGTCTTAGGGAAAGGATCGGCGGCCGGCTCAGTCTCAGTCGGCAGCCAAGCGGGTCAAATCCGCTGATTCGAGATCTGGGAACCAGAAGGGCTGCACTTGTGGCAAGTGCGGCAAGAGCCACAAGGGGATTTGTAGAGCAGGGTATTGCTACAAGTGTGGCAAGGAGGGGCGCATGGCCAAGGATTGCCCTAAGGGTTTTTCAGTCTGTTTTCATTGCAACCAGACTGGACACCGGAAGGCAGAGTGTCCACAGTTGCGGGGGTTAGCGCAGAGAGCATCTCCGGGATCAGCCCCTACTGAGGTGAGAGCTGCGAAAGTTCAGCCTGCGAAGGTTGAAGCACCGAAGGCACGTGGGAGAGCCTTCCAGTTGACTGCGGAGGAGGTCCGCGCAGCGTCCGATGTCGTGGCCGGTATGTACTCTTTCATGTATTCTTTTACATTCTGTGATGATTGTCCTTATATTATGTTATGCGTAGGTACCTTCCTTGTGAATTCTGTACCTGCTTTAGTGTTATTTGACTCGGGTGCGAGTCGATCTTTTGTATCGTTGGCCTTTAGCCGATACATCAGTGCTAGTAGAGAGCGATGATTCGACCTCTGAGAGTTTCCATAGCGGATGAGAGAGCGGTGTATGCCACCGAGGTGATATGTGGTTGTGTACTCGAGATTTTCGGGGTTGAGTTTCCAATAGATTTGGTCCCTATTGCGATGGGGGATGTCTGTGTCATCATAGGCATGGATTGGTTGAGCAGATTTGGAGCGATCATCGACTGCGAGCGACAGCTGGTGACCATGTGAGACCCTACTGGGGGAGTGCTTATGGTGTGCGGCGAGGGTACACGTTCCGGCTCAGCATTTTGCTCAGCCGCCAGGGTGAGGCAGAGCCTTCAGCAGGGATGTATGGGATTCATAGCATA